AAATGTGGTCTTGCAATTGTGATAAACTTGCTCCAAACAACCAAAAAAATGAATCCTCCTACCATTCTAAACAAGAATACCAAAATATGATCACATTGCAATGAGACTTGATTCAGTTTCATAAGTCTAATACATAATCTTTGCAATAATTCATTTACACCAAATAAAAGCTAAGGTTCATACTTGAGTTACAAGGCCATGAATATTAACTTAGTTACATTTCCAAAATAACGAATTTACATAGGATGACCTAAGTACAAAACAGCAAAATAAAGGCTTCCAATACTCCGTTAGTTTTGTGGTGGATTATCATCTGCCAACTCTTTGCCGTGACCTGAAAAAATGTTAAATATGGTGGGGTGAGCAATTTGCTCAATAAGTGGCGCCTAAGATGCACCTTTTGAGTCCCCGTGAATCCAAAACAAGGAATAGAATCATGGGAATCGGGGTCATACAATGTCGGGACGAATACTACATGGTTTCCAATCTCAACATAAATAATATGATTCAATGGGGGTGCAATGCATGCCGATGTCACTCCCTATTTTCACATTTAAAACCATCACTTTTAAACTATTAATATAATCCGTCCTTTGGTGACCCCGCAACGACACGAGAAAAGGATTGGCTAGTGTCCCTGACCCTTGGTACCCCCGCGGCGTCATTATAGGCCCAGCTAGCTCAACCACGCTAGGGCGATTCCCTAATTCCCTCTAGGCTATATTAACACTCCGGTCCTTTGGTACCCCCGCGGCGACCGGGTTTTCTCAAAACCGATTCAAAACAATTTTCTCCCGAAAATCCCCTTTTTCTTTGTCCAAAACAATACCCGTCATGAAACCCAATGATTTACATGCATGTTTCATACTTTTAATGCTTTAACAATAAGGGATTTTTACCTAACACAATGAAGCATGCCTTCATCCATCATTCATAGCATGTAAACAACAAATTAAGCATAGAAATTCATCATATAAGCATGTTTTCCACATAATACATTTAATACATGTCCTCACATAACCACATATACACAATCAAATCAGTTTAAACTACAATTAGCAAAAATAAGCATGTTAAGACACAATTCAAGTAATTTGACTCACAAAAGTGCAAGAATATGCGGAATAGAAAGCCCCTGCCTCTTAATTGCACAAAACCCTTAAGATAGGTCTCCAAATTCAAAAATCCAAGAAGGCACAAAATTTGAAATTATTGCTACCCACGCGTAGAGCTCGTCGTGCTCTCCGTTTTGCCTCAAACGACACTTCAAATCATCAAGTATTGAGGGAGAAATCTTGATTCAAAGTGGAACCAAAAGAAAAGAAAAATGAGGAGGAAATGAGGAAAAGAGAGAGACTAACGGGGAGTGAGAAAATGGTGCTCAAATATGGTCTCTAGATCATTTGAAGTGTAAGTGATGGGTCCCACCACCACTTTAACTTTTCCTTTTTCTTATACCTTATTTCCATACCACATATACATATACAATATACCACCTTAGGAATGCTACATAATTCACATAAAATAAAATGTATGCAATGCAAATGGACCCAACTAAAATCCCGTACGAAAAACGTAAAAAGACATAAATGCCCTCGCGACGACAAAATTCCAGAAAATTGAAAAATGCAGAAAATTGGAAACATCACAATCTCCCCAACTTAAAAGGATTTCGTCCCCGAAATCAAGCCGTGCCTGGGGAAGAAAACAACTCTCGGTACTTGGAGCGAACTTGCTATTCGAACTCCCAAGTAGCCTCTTCAACTCCGTGGTGTCTCCAAAGAACTTTCACTAACTACACCGTTTTACCCTTTAACACCTTCTGTCGTGTGTCCAAGATCTACACTGGTCCCTCTTCATAGGAAACTTCTTTATCAATGACCACGTCAACCCAATCCAAAACATGGGATGGATCTAGTTCATACTTTCATAGCAGTGACACATGAAAAACATTGTGAACCCTGTCTATCTGCGATGGCAAAGCAAGTCTGTAGGCAACCTTTCCTACACGGTCCAATGAATCGTGGCGACAACTTGTCACCCTTCCCGAACCTCATCAAACCGTTCTGTGGAGAAACCCACAGAAAAACATGGTCTCCTACCTTAAATGATAGCGGTCATCTCCGCTTATCTGTATAACTCTTTTGTCGGCTTTGAGCTGTGAGCAATCTCTATCTGATCAATTTAATCTTATCGGTAGTCTCGAGTACCATGTCGGGTCCTAAGGCAGCTGTCTCGCCTACCTTAGTCCAACAAACTGGAGATCTACAGGGTCTTCCATACGATGCCTCAAAAGGAGCCATCTCAATGCTTGCCTGATAACTGTTGTTGTATACAAACTCAATGAGTGGAAGATGGTCCTCCCAACTACCAGCTAAGTCAAGCACACATGCCCTGAGCATATCCTCCAAGATCTGGATTGTACGCTCCGACTGGCCGTCTGTCTATAGATGGAATACCGTACTAAGATGCAACGCTGAACCAAACGCTGCTTGAAGTCCTTCCTAGAACTTTGAAGTAAACTTGGCATCCATGTAACCTTACAATCTCCTTCACTTAAAGAACACCAAGTGCCTCTACATCATCTGTTGTCTTAATAGGCAAAAAGTGAGCCGTCTTGGTCAGTCTATCAATGATGACCCATACGGCCTCATTACCTTTCCGTGACCTTGGAAGACCTGTCACAAAATCCATAGCAATATGTTCCCATTTCCATTGCGCTACAGGCAATGGTTGCAACAACCCAGCCTGTTTCTGATGCTCAGCCTTCACCTGTTGACAAGTAAGGCATCTAGCCACAAACTGTGCAACATCCTTCTTTATCCCGTTCTACCAATACTGACGCCTCAAATTGTGATACATCTTAGTACCACCTGGATGAACTGCAAAGCGGGAAGTGTGAAACTCCCGAAGAACATTCTCACGACAAACTGTGGGAACCACCAACAAACCCCTGAACCGTAAACCCCTATCTGCATGCAAGGGCCAAACTTTCACTGTCTCACCACTGAAGATCAAAGCGTGAATAACATCTAAATCCTAGTCCTGTCTTTGTGACTCAATCACTCTTACAACAAGAGTAGGCTGAGCCACAAGACTAAACAAGAATGCCGATTCACCGCAACCAGCGTCGTCAACACAATACATTCCATCTCTGCCAGATTATTAAGCATCTTCCATTTCCAAATAGCTAATCCGGCCAAAGTTCCACGAGATTTTCGGCTTAAGACATCTGCTACCACATTTGCCTTGCCCGGATGATACTGCAAATCAAAATTGCAATTTTCTAAGAATTCAACCCATCGTCTCTCTCTGTTATTCAAGTCCTTTTGAGAGAAAAGGTACTTGAGACTTTCGTGTCTGAGAATACCTCGAATCTTTCACCATACAAATAGTGTCTCCAACACTTCAGTGCAAACATGACTGCCGCCAACTCCAGATCATGAGTAGGGTAGTTGTACTCATGAGTCTTTAACTATCGAGACCCATAAGCCACTACTCTACCATCCTGCATCAACACACATCCCAATCCATCACGTGAAGCATCACAATAGATCACATAACTCAAGCCACGCTCAGGTATCACCAACACTGGAGCTGTAGTCAATCTTGTCTTCAGCTTTTGAAAATATGACTTACAGGCTTCATTCCACACAAACTTGATTCCTTTTCGGGTCAATCGGGTCATAGACGCTATCAAACGGGAGAAATCTTTTACAAATCTCCGGTAGTAACTCGTTAAACCAAGAAAACTTTGAATCTCAAACACATTCTGGGGTTGCTCCCAATTCAAACTGCTTTAACCTTTGATGGATCAACCGACACTCCTCCTTCCGAGACAACATGCCCCAAAAACTTCACCTCTTGTAGCCAAAACTCACACTTCTCATATTTGGCATACAATCGGTGTTCCCGTAAAATCTGTAATACAATGCTCAAATCGATTTCGTGTTTTTCCTGAGTCCGTGAATACATAAGAATGTCATCCACGAAAACTACCACAAACTGTCCAAGTAATCGTGAAAGTCGTGGTTCATCAAGTTCAGGAATGCCGCTGGCGCATTAGTCAAGCCAAAAGGCATAACAAGGAACTCATAGTGTCCATACCGTGTACGAAACGCTGTCTTCGGGATATCCTCATCCCTAACCCGCAACTGATAATAGCCAGACCTCAAATCAATCTTCGAGAAACAACTGGCTCCCCTCTACTGATCAAATAAATCGTCTATCCTTGGCAAAGGATATTTGTTCTTGATGGTGGTATGATTCAACTTCCGATAATCAATGCACAACCTCAAAAAACCATCTTTCTTCTTAGCAAACAAGACCGGTTCGCCCCACAGTGACACACTCGGTCGGATTAAACCTTTCATCCTCAAATCATTAAGCTGTTTCTTCAACTCTTCTAACTCAACTGGTGCCATACGATACGATGCCAAAGAAATCGGTGCGGTACCGGACATCAAGTCAATAGTAAACTCCACTTCTCGGTGTGGAGGCAACTCTATCAAATCCTCTGGAAACACATCGAGAAAATCACGAACTACCTCCAGATAGTCTTCTCCCACAACATCATCTTCTTCAGCTAGAAGGCTAGCCAAGAAATAATCTCCACCCGATGCAAGTACAAAAGATGATGAAATGAAGGATTGAGATGCACCAGAGTCAAAAAGAATGCGAGCCCAAGAACCAAACACCGGAAAGATACCTCGAAGAACTGACGGTCCAGAAGATGTATCAGCCGATACAAGTGCAAAGACACGTCCCTGCGGTGCCTGTGCCTGAGAACTGCCACCTTGAACACCTGACTGCTGCACTGACATAATAGGAGTATCCCTTCTGACTGTTCTTGAACCCTAAAAAGACATAGAAGGTTGTAGTGGTGGCGGTGATCTGAAATTTGATTGAACTGTAGCCGACTGTGACGGCCTCTATCGTGACCCCCTGCCACTACCTGTGCCTGCTCCCTGACTAGGACAATCTCGAATCAGGTGACCCTGCTAGCCACACCCATGACAAGCCTTTAGAGCTAAAGAAACTGAAGATGATCCCATAGGGCAACTGGACTTGTAATGCCCTGGTTGCTGACACTGGAAACATACGACTCCACCCTTGTCAGACCCAGCTGGCATAGGAGCGGTAGGAGCGGATCGTGCAGACTGTTGCCCTTGAAACTGAAACGAATCACCCTTATTCCTTTTCCAAGATAATCTTTCCGAAGATGGCCCTGCACCTCTCTTTTGCTTCCACTGTTCCCTTCTTGCATCCTTATCTTTGATATCAGCCTCCAGCATTAAAGCCCTCTCTACAGCTTCAAAATAAACCTTGATGAACTGTGCCGTAATTAGCGGCCTCATTCGATCATTGAGTCCAGAGACAAATTTTCGAGTCTTGTCAACTTCTTCTCTCACCATTTTCAAAACAAAGCGAGAAAGTGAGGTAAACTTGTTCTCATACTCTGCCACTGACATGTTGCCTTAGATAAGGCCAAGAAATTGGTCTTTTAGTTCCCATCTTTTAGAAATCGAAAAATACTTCTCATAGTACAGTTCCTTGAACTTATCCCAACTCATCTCTTCCACCTTATGCCGATTCGTAACAGTCTTCCACCAAAGCTTAGCATCCTTAGCAAACTTGTAAGTTGCTAGGATGATCTTCAAATGATCCTCTGTCACATCCATTGAGGTCAACTGAATTTCAACTTTGTCCATGTAAGCATCTGTTACCATTGGATCCACACCGTCCTCAAACATAACCGACATCAACTGAGAAAACCCCTTAATGATCTTAAGACGCTTCTGAGCTGGCTTCTCCTCAACTTGAACTGTAGGTTGTGGTGCCTGCTGTGGCTGAGCAGCAATAGTGACGGCCCTCTGCAACAAGCGATTCAATACAAGTTCCGCCGGACCTTCATCCACATCTATGGGTGCTTCAACATTATCCCTCCTTATGGGAACACCTCTCGTGGGGATCAAATCTCTCAGAAGTGTGTCCTTATCATTCAGCTCCTCCGGATTGGAGCTAGAGCTCTCACCAGCATCACCTCTAGTCGGCCTAGGGCCAACTTCCCTGGGTTCCTCACGCCATGACATCGTGCTATAAAATGAGAAAACAGTTCAATAACAAGACACTAAGGTCCACTGCGGTTGACTCAATATGAAATGATGCCATAACGACACTTAGCATGCACAGCTATACAAAAAAAAAAAAAAAACGTTTTAACATAAACATTTAAGCACGTAAGCACATAAGCAGTTAAACATGCTTCTTCAAGTCGTACACAAGTAGCAATTAGTCAAATAAACAATGCAATCAACATCCCATGCAATCCTATGTAGGCCTCTACCCGTCGTCCTATAGGTTTTCAAACCAAGGCTCTGATACCATTCATGTGACGACCCGAACCCGGAGGTCCGAACCGTTAGCCGGGTCTTAGCTCGAACCCGAGGTCATCAACGTCAAACTCATCATTTTTAGAGTCAAAACCACACATTTAGGATCAAAACTAAGCTCTCTCAAGGTTCCAAGCAAACCCAAGAGTCAAGAGTGGATAAACGGGGAAAGAAAAGCAAAGTAAAACCAACCAGTGCATTTCGGTCGACCGATGGAGAGCTTTGGTCGACCGAAGCACACCCCAAATAAAACCAAAGGTCCAACAGTGAGATCTCAAGAGCAGCAGGATGGTTCGGTCGACCTAAAAAGGAGATCCTGAGAGTGTGAAGATGGTTCGGTTGACCGAACCCCATTTCGGTCAACCGAAACAGGAGATCCTGAGAGCACCCACTTGGTTCGATCGACCGATGCACCATTTCGGTCGACCGAAATGGCTCCCTCGAACCCTGAAGCAAGAACTGTGGTGCTACACTTGGAAATAGAGGGGAAACTGAAAAGGTGGTCTTGCAATTGTGATAAACTTACTCCAAACAACCAAAAAAATGAATCCTCCTACCATTCTAGACAAGAATACCAAAATATGTTCACATTGCAACGAGACTTGATTCAGTTTCATGAGTCTAATATATAATCTTTGCATTAATTCATTTACACCAAATAAAAGCTAAGGTTCATACTTGAGTTACAAGGCTATGAATATTAAATTAGTTACATTTCCAAAATAACGAATTTACATAGGATGGCCTAAGTACAAAACAGCAAAATGAAGGCTTCCAATACTCCATCAGTTTTGTGGTGGATTATCATCCGCTAACTCTTTGCCATGACCTGAAAAAATGTAAAATATGGTAGGGTGAATAATTTGTTCAATAAATGGCGCCTAAGACGCACCTCTTGAGTCCTCGTGAATCCAAAACAAGGAATAGAACCATGGGAATCGGGGTCATACAATGTCGGGAATAATACAACATGGTTTCCAATCTCAACATAAATAATATGATGCAATGGGGGTGCAATGCATGCCGATGTCGCTCCCCATTTTCACATTTAAAACTATCACTTTCAAACTGTTAATATAACCCGCCATTTGGTGACCCCGCAGCGACACGAGGAAGGATTGGCTAGTGTCCCTGACCCTTAGTACCCCCGCGGCATCATTATAGGGCCCAGCTAGCTCAACCACGCTAGGGCGACTCCCTAGTTCCCTCTAGGCTATATTAACACTCCGGCCCTTTGGTACTTCCGCGGCGACCGGATTTTCTCAAAACCGATTCAAAACAATTTTCTCCAGAAAAGCCCCTTTTTCTTTATCCAAAACATTACCCATCATGCAACCCAATGATTTACATGCATGTTTTATACTTTTAATGCTTTAATAATAAGGGATTTTCACCTAACACAACGAAGCATGCCTTTATCCATCATTCATATCATGTAAACAACAAATTAAGCATAGAAATTCATCATATAAGCATGCTTTCCACATAATACATTTAATACATATCCTCACATAACCACATATACACAATCAAATTAGTTTAAACTACAATTAGCACAAATAAGCATGTTAAGACACAATTCAAGGAATTTGACTCACAAAAGTGGAAGAATATGCAGATTAGAAAGCCCTTACCTCTTAATTGCACAGAACCCTTAAGATGGGTCTCCAAATTCGAAAATCCAAGAAGGCACAAAATCTGAAATTATTGCTACCCACGTGTAGAGCTCGTCGTGCTTTCCGTTTTGCCTCAAACGGCACTTAAAATCATCAAGTATTGAGGGAGGAATCTTGATTCAAAGTGGAACCAAAAGAAAAGAAAAATGAGGAGGAAATGAGGAAAAGAGAGAGACTAACGGGGAGAGAGAAAATGGTGCTCAAATGTGGTCTCTAGACCATTTGAAGTGTGAGTGGTGGGTCCCACCACCATTTTGACTTTTCCTTTTTCTTATACCTTATTTCCATACCACATATAGATATACAATATACCACCTTCGGAATGCTACATAATTCACATAAAATAAAATGTATGCAATGCAAATGGACCCAACTAAAATCCCGTACGAAAAACGTGAAAAGACAGAAATGCCCTCGCGGTGACGAAATTCCAGAAAATTGAAAAATGCAGAAATTTGGAAACATCATATCTCAACTCTCAGAAAATGCTAGGTTTTCATGGTGCTTTTGGTAATGATCATTTTGGACATTGATGTCATTTATATCGATAGGTTTTATGGGTAAGCTTGTTGGGGGCAGGTGATGAATTAGGGTTTTATACTGTCATGTTACCGTACAAGTTGTGTGTAGTGGGCGAGTGGTAATTGCCATTGATGCTACCTTACATTACCTAACTAGTAATGTAAGTGTGGATGGGCACTACACACTGTCAATGCTACCGCACCTTGAGTACGTGTGGGCGAGTTCTAGTCACTATTCGTGTTGCCATGTTACTTCTGGTTGTGTTCTTTATTTTAGCGTGTTGTTGCCTTGGTTTCTTTTGGGAGGTTAACGTTGGGTTGTATATCAATTCGTTTGGTGAGGTGTTGTCTTTCGGTTCGTGGTTTCGCGTTCCTTTAGTTGGATCTCAAGGCTTCTGGAATTATCTTTTAGTGCTTTATGATCCTTTCCTTGGTGTGACTTTGTGTACAGTCCTTATTCGGTTCTTCTGGGAATGTTCCTAATTTCGGGGATGAAATTTCCTTAAGTAGGGTAAGTTGTATTGACCCGGTTATTTTCCTTCCTTTCATTTTTCTTGGATTTTTACGAATAAATTTTTTTCGTTGATTTTTCTTTTCTGAGTTCAGTTGCTCATCACTTAGTGTCGTTTTGAGTGCTCGGAAATGGTTTCCGAGACTATTTCCTTTAGATTGATTACTTTCTTAAAAGACCGCGTTATTTCCACATTTTTCATTTTTCGACACTATTCACTTTTCATCCTTTTCCCCATTTGTCACTTTGTTGGCATAACCTCACTTTTCATGTTCGGAGTTAAGTTTTGACTTCAAGAGTTTTCATTCCAATTGATTTCCTCGAAAGGCGTAGCTTTACTTTTGGAAAAAAAGCTTGCCGATTGTTTATTTCTCCTACAGGGGCGTGGATGAAATGATTCTTCAGAAACATTGATGTTTCTTGGGGTACTTTTCGTAAATATCTTTTGAAGATATTTATTTCAGGGTTTTTTTCATAAATGTCTTTTGGAAGATATTTTCATTTTGGGTAGTTTTGCAGTTATTCTTTTTTTTAGGGGCCATTGTGCAGTTAATGAAAGTTATTACAAAATGTCTTGTTTTGAGTCTGGATCCTCGTACGAGATTCATTTTCACATTTCGTCGAGTCGTGAACTTTTAGGGAAACCTGTCAATAGAGCGGATCCTGATCCGATTAGTCGGATCTGATCCGATCCGATTAGTGAGGATTTGAGATTTCATCTCAAAATGGAGGTAAGGGATGTCTTAGGTTTCTATTATAATTATATTGATTGTTTTCTAAGCATATACAACTTGTATGCATGCCTATGTAATTTATCTATAATTTAATTTAATTTTTTCTTTATATAAGATTTAATTCCCATAGTTGTATATTACTTAGAATTAAATTGTGTCATGCTATTAAATTAGGCCTTGATATGTTCATTAACATATATTAAATTGGGAGTATTTAAATAAGTGTTGAAACTTTTATTTAATTATTTTCTTGTATGAAAGTTTAATTCACATGGTTGTAACTTGCATGGAATAAACTTGTAATGTGATATTAAAATAGGCCTTGGTATGTTCTTTAACCTATGTAAAATTAAGAGCATTTGAAGTTGTTTTAAAATCTAGGGAAAAATTAATTAATTAGATTAATTAATTTATTTTAAGTGTTCTATTCACTTGAATGGATTTTTAACTTGAAATTGTTAATGAGCTTGGCATATTCCATCATATATACTAAATTAAGAATATTTGGATAAGTTTTTAGAACTTTATTTATTTATTTTCTTGGCATTGAGTTTAATTTACCTAGTTGTAACTAGTGTATAATCAACTTGTAATATGATTTTAAATTAGGCATTGATATGGTCATTAACATACCCTAAATTGAGAATATTTGAATGAGCCTTGAATACTTTATTTAATTATTCTATTGTATAAAATTTAATTCACCTAGTGATGCCTAGTTTAGAATTAACTTGTATCATGAAATTAAAATAAGCCTTGATATGACCTTTGATATATATGATTTGTTGAATTTTTGAAGTTACTTTGTAAACTTGAGAATTTAATTATTTAAGTTATTTAAATTCCATTTTATGCTTCCATTGAGGTAATTAGGCATTGATGTTGTATACTTGCTTAATTTATAGTTTGGAACTTGTTATATGATTACATGATAGTATTCCATGAGTTGAAGTTATAATATAACTTGTAAGTATTCACATTTTACTTATATGAAATTTAATATGTCATTGTAGCTTAAATGCCTAGGGCATGGCTTGTGTGTATTCCATGACTTGGTTGTGCATGGTAATTGATATTGTGCATTGTGTATATGTGATATACTTGTTGTACAACTTGATAATTTTTGGAAAACTTGTATGGACATTGGAAATTATTACAGCTAGGGCATGGCTCTAGTAAAGGGGATGACAGTTCCCTTTATTTCATATAATGCGCACTGGGTGGTACCCTGAGGGTTAGTAACTCAAAAACACCAATATAACGGTTTTATTCCGGATTTAGTGCGTATTAGGTAGTACCTTGTGGGCTAGTAACCCGGAATCACTTGCTTAGTCATTGAGACCTTATGTCCTTTGTCTTTCCGCCATTGGTTGATTTCACGTTCAATTCTTAGTTGTAATCGTGGATTACTTTTAACTTGTGTTTGGGTGCATGATATTTCATTTCTTGCTTAGTATACTTGTACGCTTTGTATATAAAAAATGCTTAGTATACTTGGATTTGTATGCTTGTATGCCATGTATGTCAACATTACTTAGTATACTTATAAATGCATACTTGAATATGTATGTTGCATTTCCATTTTAATATTGTTTAGCGTACTTGGTATGTACCTTTGTATATTGATGATTTACTTTCTATACTTGTGTCTTGTATACTTGTCTTAAGTGCATTTCAATATTGATTGTATATTTGTGTACATATACTTGTATATTAAATATCTTGTTGCGTGTACCGCATGCTTCTATGTTGCCTAAATTGCATGAATGATGTGGTTTATGCTAGAAATGCTTTAAGGTCGCTTAGGATGCTCTTTGATTCTCACCTTGGACATAGAGGCTAGGTTGTATGGACCTCATATATTGATTTATATCAATTTAATGAACAGCAAAATATTAGTTCTATGCATGCTCATCTCATACGAGTAACTTTATGTTACTCTCCCACATAGTGGGGACATTTTTCAGGTACAGGAACCATGATTCGGGATTCACATTTTGCTTTAGATGTCTTGTAGACTTGAAGTATTTGGATTCATGCAAATGTTAGCATAAAATGCTATTTTTGATTAAAAATGTCAAAACTTGCATATTTGGTTTTAAATATATAATGTATACATAAGTACATCTTTTGAGTTGTATTTGACATGTATGCAATGAGACTATGGGCCAAGTGCATTTATTTTGTATCCTAAGTACTTTTACTTTTAAGTTATATTGTTGAAAAATAGAAAAATGACATGTTTTTGCATCAGCACATTTGCATGGGTGGTGGGAAGTGGACTTTAGCACTTCCATAGGTTCATTTAATTATGTATGAAGTGTAACCAAGGGCTAAATGGACTTTTGAGACCATTTGATAATTTTAGTTTCAAGTTTCTCTTTTAAAAGCCATTTTTGGCAAAATTTGAGATTTAATAGGTGATATTTTGTATTTAGCGACCATTGAGGCCGTAAGCTATTGGAATGCGTGTAAATATGTATATTATGTTTACGTGAATGCTCACCTTGCACAAAATATCGCATTTGTATGAAATTGATGCTTGTTGGCCTCAAAATTTTCATTTTAGGCATTTTTGAGCTCTAATAGGTCGTATTTTGCATTGGCCATTTTTGAGAGCCGCAGACCATTCCCGTGCTCTTAAAAACACTAAATACATTTACGTGCATAATCTTTTTAGCCTAGAAATGCATTTAGAGTCAAATGAACACTTGGTGCAAAGTTGTATTTTTTTCGTTTTTGGCCTAAATTGATCAGGGGCGTTTTAGGCATTTTACAGCGTGTTTTAAAATTTATTTTGACATGGTCGGGTAGAAAATGTGATTTTAATGGGGGTTTCTTCTTCGTGTTTTTCCAAAAAATATCGTATCGAACCCGAAAACCTCGCGTCAAATATAATTTTATGTGCGCATATGTATTTTTCAAAAAAATCTGTTAAAAGGGCATTTTGGGGATTTCACGTCAAAAAATTAAAAATTTCTTTCGACACGATCAGTTTGGAAAAATTATTTTGAGTGGGGTTTCTTCTTTGTGTTTTTCCAAAAAACATCATTTAGCCTCAAAATGGCACACGAATTTTAGCATTTTGCATAGGTCATTATTCACTTCTATCAAATTACTGTTCATTGCTGTTAAAACACTATTCACGGCCTTGGCGACGCCAAAACTTTATTTTAACTTTTCTCTTCCATCCGAACTCCGAATCAAGTGATTCTTGAGTCTAACTTCATTATTTTTTTGCTGTCTTTCCAATGGTGTGCTCGGTAGCACCCAGATCTTGCTGAAAGTTACTATTTTGCCCTTGGGGCTAGACTTGTCCGGTTTTCTTTTTTTAAAAAATTGCTTCCGCTATGCTTTCTTATGAGTTCCGTGAATTCATGGGAAGTCACAGATGTGTTTTGGGAATATTGTACATTTCTAGAGACGTTGCTTCCATGTAAAAAGACTGCTTTGCCCTTGGGGGCTTCTTTTGATCTTTGTATGATCTTTTATTCCGCGTTGGTTCTGGTAGAGTTTCGTGGCCTCATGGAAGGTCACTTTGGTGTCCTAGAGATGTTGCATATCCCTAGAGACCTTATTTCTGTTTTCGCTTCCGCATTTCGGAGCCGTTATCGGGTCAAACTTCGGTTCATCACATGATGCACTGGCTTGAAAAACCAGGGCGTCACAGCGAAAGTCGTTGGAGGCAACCAACCAGTACCAAGATACTAGGGATGGCAATTTCCTCCGACCTGGCAGGTTTTCGCCCCCCCCTGCCCTGCCCTGCCCTGCCCTGCCCCGATTATATATATGCCTTGAGAATTTTTATGTATATATAAAATATATATTTAAGAACCTTTTTATTTTGCTAGAAGTGTACACATAATATATTAATATTCATTACTTAATAATTTAAAATTTGATTCAGTTTATTTATTAGCCAATTTGAGTACATTGTGCTAAAGTCGCATAACCAGCCCCACCCACCCCCGTCCCGTAATTAAACAGAATACGTTGGGCGGAGTTGGTACTTTTTTTTTATACTAAAGAATAAAAGTTGCATAATCGGTCCCACCCATATCTTGGAATTAAATGAAATACGTGCAAGGCGGAATTGATATTTGGTCTGTTAGGACGGAGATGATACATCAATTACAAATTCGTTTTGCAATAAGGATGGAAATGGGAAGCCAGTTGCCATCCTTGCAAGATGCAGTGGATAAAGATATTTAGTGTGATCTACATAATTCTTTCTTCTTTTATCTGAATGAATCGGACAGCTTTTTTTTCTTTAAAAAAATATTCTTAGAATTGTTTTTGTAGCCAATTGGAACTCATTACTTTCTACTTTACTTTCTCATATGGGCTGGATTCCACATCCATGACCATCGAATCCAGCGGGGAATGAAAGAAAGTCGCCGCTCACGTGCAATTCTGTACTTTCGCTTGGGATGCTGTTCTCTTCGGCGACGAACAATAGATGACCAACCATTCAAGGAGCACCACGTATGCAAGAGAAATGAAAAAGCACGTCGTATGAAACGTGGCATCTTTCTATTGATCATTCATAGTTTTACCACAGAACTTTGTCTCTATGTTGAAGAACTTAGATTAGAAATGGTTCGAATTTACGGAAAACACCTTAACCGCAGAATCAATCAGGAGGTCGGTGAGGACTCAACTAAAAACATACCCCATCATATTATATGTACCACTACTACCCTCGTCGAATCGAACCCAAAGCCTCCTCCTTTTCCCTTTTCTCTCTCTAAATGTATACAAGCTCCAACGAACAGTCCTGTTATTAAACTGAGCGGGGGGGAGAGAGAGAGGAGAAGCTGCATCAGTCATAGTCGCGGGTCAAAAGGAGGAGCTTTTGAGGAATTGGGGTTGGAGAGGGCGAAGAAGGCAGAATCGCGTTTGATAAACCGTGCGTGGAATCTTTGAATCACACAAATTTGGTTCCTGAGCCAACCATTTGCGTGCTTCGTACGGTCTATCCCTCGCTAATCTGCTAACAAACTCGCTCCATCCCTCACTTTTTTGATATCTCCACCACAAATATATAAATAAATAAATCAGACTCACACTGAACCGCGCGATCAAGATCCACCACCACCGCCTCAGTCGATCAAACTTGTTTCTTTTGCATCCCCAAATAACTAATCCTTAGTTATCTTCTCTTTTTATGGCTTTTGTTTTCTTTCTTTAGAAACATAACAAAACAGAAGATTTGATTTTCTTCTCTATTACAGTAGTAATTTTTTTGTTGGTAGTCACTGTTGTTATTGTTTTTGTGTAATACTATCTAGTATACTTGCTATTATAATACTCGTATAATAGTTGGCGATAATTATGGATGATGAGGCTAGGGTTTCAGGGAAAGTTGATCTTCAGCCTGATGATGAGAGGCCCTCTTACTGGCTGGATGCCTGTGAGGATATCTGCTGTGATCTTATCGGTGATTTTGTAGATTTTGATGCCGCTGAAATTCAGGAACCTGCTGCCGCTGCCGCCTCCACTCAGGACGGTGGCCTAGATCCTTGTTTCTTTGGAGGAATCGATCGGATTCTTGACTGCATCAAGAATGGGGACGGTTTGACTACTGCTGTTGGTAATGGAGTCCGTGATCCTTCCTCCATTGTACAGGATTCTTTATCCATTGGACAGGCTTCCCTTCAGAATAAAGAGGAAGCTGGTGGGAATTGCAAGCCTAAAGTTGAGGCTTCCTCTATTCAAAATGCTGCTCAATCTACTGGCTCACCACCACAGTTACACGATGGTAGTAATCAAAACTTTACCAAAAGGATGCCTGGTAATAGTAACCCCGCTGGTGATCACACTACCAACAATAATTGGAACAAATCCTTGGATGGGACTAAAGCAGAACATCTTTTTACTCCGCGAGATGGAGCTCATAGTCGCGGCCATAGTGATCTAAATTATCACGACAGTGAAGAAAGATACGGCAAAAGAGCTCGTCTTACTGATTACAAGAATGAGAGATATTTTCCTAGTAGAGGGCCATATCACCCCAGGGAGAGGCTAAATAAAAAAAGAAATCGCGACTGGGAGGAGATTGATAGGAGAGATAGGGATCAAATCAGGCGAAGAGAACGCAATGGCAGTGGTAGAAGGGATCCTAGGGAGAGGGAGAGGGAGTGGAGAGATGGAAGGGGTTATTGGGAGAGAGACCGATTGGGTTCCAATGAGATGGTTTTTCGCTTGGGTGCATGGGAAGCTGATCGAAACAGAGAGGATAAGACTTCCTGTGAAAAAAACCAGGAATGCAATGGAAGGACAGATAATAAACCCGAAGAGCCCAAGGAGAAACAACCCGAGGAGCAGGCCCGACGCTACCAGTTGGATGTTCTTGAACAGGCTAAGAATAAAAATACAATAGCTTTTCTTGAAACGGGGGCAGGGAAGACACTCATTGCTGTTCTCCTCATCAGAAGTGTTTACAGTGATTTGCAAAGAGAAAAAAGGAAAATGCTGGCTGTATTTTTGGTTCCTAAAGTTCCACTTGTTTATCAGGTCATATTATAATAAATGTTCCTCTTAACAATGCGACATTTTGTGATGTCTTTCAACTGCAAATCAATTGATACATTTGTATTCTTGTCCTATGCAGCAAGCAGAAGTTATTCGTGAGCAAACTGGTTACCAAGTAGGCCATTACTGTGGTGAAATGGGCCAAGATTTCTGGGACGCTAGGAGGTGGCAGCGTGAGTTTGAAGCAAAGCAGGTAGCATCTGAAGTCTCCACTTATAGTCACGCTTGTTTTCATGCATATATACTGGATACATGTCTTTCTTTCAAAAAATATCCTAGTTCTATTTATTTATGATGCCGGCTTACCAAGAGAGGATGAACAACTATTCTCTATAGCAAGAGAGAGATAAATGAAGAAGGAAAAGAATGCTAGAACAAGGAGAAAAGAGCAAACAGTAGTTGTTGCAGTTCTATCAAAGATAATACTGATCACCCTCTCTCCAATACCCTAGCCACCCTTTATATAGATTCCCCTACTTAATCTAGCCATAATTGGCTTTATAAGGCAGGAAATTACATAAAATCAGGAAAATTTCTAAAAATCACATAGGGGACTGCAAAATTAGGGATTCTGTTTGGCCCTCCTTGCACTCCTAGTCTTCTTTGGGTGCTCCCAACGGTTCATAAAGTCAATCTCAACAGGAGAAAAGTTAGTAGTAGGGCTCTTGGATGAATTGTAAGCAAATTCAACAAGTCGTAGAATCAAATCCCAATTTTTGTTGTTTTCACTAAATAAACACTTCAGCCAAATTTCCAAACTCCTCTTCGGTCTGTCCATCGGTTTGAGGATGGAAGGAAGTACTGAAATCAAGCTCCGTGCCAATATTCTTCCATAAAGTCCTACAAAAGTGCCTCCTTGTTGGCTAAGGACTGCACCAATGCCAACGCCCAAGGTATCGCAATTTACCTCAAATACCTCTTCAAAATCCGGTAAAGCAAGAATCGGTGCTTCCGTTAGTTTCTTCCTTTTTTTTTTTTTTTTTGATTAGTTTCTTCTTGAGCGCTTGAAAACTCTTCTCTGCCTCTTGGGTCCACTAAAAAGATTTCTTCCCTATACTATCAGTAGTTGGAGCTGTAATGGTGCTCAAATTGAGAATAAAATGCCCAATAAAATGTCACCAAACCTTTGGAACTCCTCACATCATGCACTTTGGTAGGTGTAGGCCACTGAAGAATTGCTTTCACCTTGTCATTGTCTACCATAAAGTGCTCATTCTTCAATAAAAACGCCCAATAAAGTGCTCCTTCTTCAATATCGAAAACTGAGCGGAGGTGCATCAAGTGGTCTTCAAAACTGCGACTATACACTAAAATATCTTCAATATAAACAGCTACACACAAGCCAGTAAGTGGTTTCAGCACTTCGAGTCATCATATGCATAAAAGTGTTGGGTGCATTTGATAAGCCAAACGACAGGGCCAACCACTTGTAAAACCCATCTTTTGTTTTAAAAGCTGTTTTTCACTCATCACTCGGTCTAATCTGGATTTGATGGTAGCCACTTTTCAGGTCAATCTTAAAAAAAAAAAATCGAAGATCCTGCAAACATATCTAGCACGTCATCAAGGCGAGGAATCGGAAAATGGAATTTGACGGTTGTTTTGTTGATGGCTTGACTACCCATGCACATACACCAAGAACTTTGGAGTGAGGAGGTCTGGGATGGCACATGAGCTCATGCTCTCATGAATAAATCCCTTGTTCAATCATTTCATAACCCGTCGATTCAATTCATCATGCTCCTTTGAAGTTGTCATTCGATAAGATGCTTTATTAGGAAGACTCACGCCAGTTAATACAATGTTGAATATCCCTCATCAATGGTAATATTGATCTAGGTCAACAGGAAATACATCTCTATGTTCTTTCATCAAAGGCTTCACAATAGTAGGAATAGATGGGGGTGCAACCTCTTCTTTTGCAACCAAGACATAGAGCTGCTCACTTTCCTCAACCTCTTTCATTAAGCCACTCATGGGAAGAAAATTTGTTTCCTCTCTAATTAGGTTGGGACTAAATTTATCACGCATAGGACTTAAAGTAACTTTCACGTTATCCTTCCAAAAAGTGTACGTGTTATTTCTACCATGATGTAAATTATCTATGTCAAATTGCATCCATCGGTACTACATCACACCAAGTATTGTCAAAGTAATTTATTTATTTATTTTGATAGAAAAAGAGACCAAGCTACGTTACGAAATGGTTACCTCATTTCCTTTGTGAAACCAAGAGTTTGTAAAGCCTCAAATGCTTCTCAACTTTGAGTATCAATTTCTTTATGGATTTTTAGTATACCACTTTCTCACAACTTCTGCCATAAATAATCATGTTGGACACCCTTCTGTCAGTGGTACAAGTGGTGTGAAAAATGTTAGTGCGCAACTAGTCTTCTTAATCCTCATGTTTCGGAAGTTATAGTGACTTTTGCATGACTAAAGATTCATCTACATCACCATAAATGATATCATCGTCATCTTCTTCCTCTGGGAAATCATCAAATTTTGGCTTGAACTCCAACGTTACATGATCTTCCTCATTCGAAAGTTGTTTTCCCCTATCAAAACGTTTTCTACACTCCGCCGATCAATGCCCGGGCTTTCCGCACTTATAGCATATCAGCTCAAGTTCTTAGCCACGATATTGTCTTGCTGCCCGCCCCATATTTTGGCGATTTCCGGCAGCAGCAGCCTAACCCCACCCACATGGGGTAGCTGCTGTCCCACATTTTGGGCACCATTTCCCCACCATAATAGGTGCTGATTTCCCCCCTAAAAGTAGGCTGTAACCTTGTGCAACTGCTGCTGGGGCACGAACCTGCTTGTTTTGTTGCTTCTCCATCACCAAAGCACGTTGATAAGTCTCTAAAACAGACCAAATGACTGTGAGAGTAGAATCTCTTGTATGTTAGGTCTTAGTACGCTAATATAGCTTGCCTCCATCTGTTCTCCACTCTCCGATAGGTCATTGTGTGCTATCTACTGATAAAATTCTTCTGTGTAATCTTCCACACTACGCCCTCCATGCCTCACATTAAAACGCAAAAATTGTTCCTTCAACTTTTTCATCTTTTTCCCATTCTACAATCTTTGGTTTACCTCTATGCTCTCAAGTAGTCCTTAGTTGCTCCCACCATGCCGAGGCCCTACCTTTTAAACGAAGAAAAAAAAGAATGCTAGAATAAGGAGAAAAGAGCAAACAGTAGTTTCTGCAGTTCTATTAAAGATAATACTGATCACCCTGTCTCCAAGACCCTAGCTTCCCTTTATATGGAGTCTCCTGCTTAAAATCAGGAAATTACATAAAATCAGGATAATTACAAAATATGGAAATTTTATAGAAATCACAAAGTGATGTGCAGAAAATTAGGAATTCTGTTAGGACTCCTTGCACTAATAGCCTTCCTTGGTGGAGGCTTGGAGAGGGTGTACAGTGGGGCCCCCTAACTCGCAATTATTGGAGGGTAGCACCCTTATACATTTGGTGGTGCTTATGGCTCGAAAGAAATAGGAGATCCTTTGAAGGAAAGGAGACTTCTATTGGGGCGCTGAAGTTCTCCATTATTAGCACCCTTTTTGTTCGGTCCTAGGGAGACATTGTAAATCCATGGAGGAGATTGTCGATATTTTGGCCTCCTTGAGAGTTTAAAGGCCCTACTTGGCCTTGTGTTGTTTTTGAGGGCTGCGTTCGCCCACCTTTTGAACACTATACTCCCTCCATCCCAGAATAGTTGTCCAACTTTCCTTTTTGGATTGTCCCAAAATACTTGTCCACTTACCAAATTTAAATAACATATTTCACATCTTTTCATAAAATACCCTCAAAATTCTAAAAAATTTCAAACTTGATTATATATATATTTAAACTTGAAAGGGTAACTTTGTAATTTCTAAAGGGGACAATGCAATAATTACATGTCCCCTTAAAAAGTTCTACTCCCCATAAGGGACATCTATTATGGGACGGAGGGAGTACAATTTTGCTTATAAAAAAAATATAAAGTCACAGAACAGGGTGACTGCATCGATTTATGTGTGGTTGTTTGTGGTTAATTAGTCAATAGAACGGCTTAATCATGCCATTGCTTCAACATGGTCTTACTGGCCCTGTACCAACACTTAAAGTCACTTAGTAGGAGTATGTTTAGTCATCGTAATCTGTTGAGGTATTTCGTTTTAAAGCTGGCCTTCCTGATCTGTTCATTATCATTCATCTGTTTACTTATGTCCTCCTGCATCTGACCTATTCTTCTTCGATATTTTTTATACTTTTCTTTTTCCAGAGGTAAGTGATTTTTATTTTTTGATAAGTAAGATTTCATAAAAGGCGCTCAAGAGAGGAGCGCTCCCAAAAGAATATACAAGAAGTCAAAGGCGACAACTAAAGCTTTAAGCTATCCACAAAATCCAAAAGATGCCCCAAAGATTTACAATTACACACATTAACCCCAAAAAATAAAGAATACAGTATAAACTGTATTTGAGAGACCAAATAGGAGACTCCTCTCCATCAAAGGGTCTCCTATTTCTCTCATGCCACAAACCCCACTATAAACGAAGGGGAATGGCCCTCCAAACATCCCTTGCTCCCAAATGTATACGTGATTATCCATTTATGTTTCTAGTCCTCATCATCGAATGTAGGGTTTTCAGTTGAAGCCTCCTACAACATTTGTGTAATAAAACAAATATGTGAAACAACAAACTGTTCTAACTTCATTTTTGAAGCTTAGCTCAACAGGAGGGCCTAGTCAAAACCCACTTGGTGTGATTTGATGATTGAAATTTCTGGTGCTATTTCAAAATGCATCCAATACAAAATAAGTGTCTACATATAGGTACATGAATGTTTACATCTAATGATTAGTTATACCCACCCATATATATACACAAAAAAAACATTTTACCTTTTTTTTTAGAAATTACCCTTTTCTATTGTAACATTTGAACCAACTTTTCACGTATATGGTCCGCAAACTTACTTAGTTACCGAAGCATAAAAATTGTGGTACCAATTTACATGATGTTGCATCTCATAGGCCACATTGCATTGGACTTTATGTGTATGATAAATTTCGTTCCTTGTTAGTTGCTTTAGTTTTGTGACTTTGTCTGTCATTTTTATCATTCTTTTGGTATTGAGATTTTGCACATCAGACTCTAGGACTTCTGTCTGATGAACTTAATTGATGATTTTTGAGCAGTAGAAAAGCCTTTTTGATATCACATTTAGGAATGTCAGCCTTTGAAAGGTAAACGTACTATAATGAAAAAAAAAAATGGATTTCTCCTCCCCTAACACATTTTGCCACACCAACAAAAATTGTTAAAGGGGCCATTGTTTGGTGCAATGATAAAAGCTTGGGCTGACAAGGGTAGAGGGCACAAGTTCAAGACTGAGAGTAACTACTCTGTACAAAAATAATGTCAATGGTTAGGTTTGTATTTGGTCTTCCCTTCCCAGCACCCTGCTTAGGCGGGATTAACATTGAGCAATGGCCTTTCACAGGAATTGTAAATGCCACTGACAAAACTCATTATATTCTATTTACTCATTTTTTTATTTTATTTTATTTTATTTTTATTTTTTATTTTTAATGTGGGTGGATGGGGTGATCATAGGTGTCATATGCCAAATAACTCATTCAAAACAATGAGATAGTAACATATGTAGTTCACTAATGCGATACAAAAATTTAATGTGTGCTGTTGCTGTTGCATTGGTTTAGTATTGTATACTTCAACAAAATTTGTGTTTGAAGTGTTACACAACTAAAAGGGCTAATCTAGTGCATGAGGCTCCAGTTTTCAGTTTAGTCACTGAAGGGTCTGAGAGGGTCATATGTATGCAGCCTTACTTCCGCATGCGGAGAGGCTGTTTCCAGTCTCGAACTTTGATCTCCAAGTCACAACGGAGCAGCATTTCTGTTGTGCCAAGGCCTGCTTCAAACTGTTCACAACTAGAATATAAAATAAATATTATCTTCACTTTGCCAGTACTCTTTTTGTCAAGTATACCTCAAGATTCAAGATGAGATAAAATTGTTTATATAGAACGATTTTAGTTCTTTTGATGTTTGATGCTGTGTGTTGAACTTGCTAGATTGGTGATTGATATTGTGTGAAAGAAATATTTGCCATGTCGCACATTCCTAGTGTTTGACATTCCACACAGTCAACTTTCATCATCTGTCTTGTTCATTCTCTAAGTACACATGGCTTTTTTTTCTTAAGTGAAAACAAAAATTTCATTGTGAATCCATGGCATTGAATAGGTTCTAGAATATAAAATTCAATTATGTGCAGTGATCTGTCATGCACTGTACAGTATTACACATGCGTATGTATATATTCATTGGCTATGAGTTGATCATACCATTGTCTGGGTGTTCGTGTGGTTTATGTATTAACGCGTGAATATGTATTTAAAAGTTTAGCAAAAAATATATGTATTAATTCAAATTCGTGACATTGTTCCTGATGATTTTCATCTTGAATTCAAGGCAAATTAAACTTTCACCTTATGTTAAAAAAATAAAAATAAAAAGGAACGAAGAAGCTCAAGGAAAAGAGATTACTGCATTCAATTGTAGAAGGTTGATTTGTGATTGAGCCCTTTGTTATTCTTGGTCTTGTAACTTGGGAAAGGGCTTACTCTCAGCTTACCATGGCTGGCTCCTCTCACTGCAGGTCTTGGTGATGACGGCTCAAATTCTATTGAACATTCTGAGACACAGTATAATAAAGATGGAAGCAATTAATCTCCTTATTCTGGACGAGTGTCATCATGCTGTGAAGAAACATCCATATTCTTTAGTGATGTCTGAGTTCTATCACACAACACCAAAGGAGAAAAGACCATCGGTCTTTGGAATGACCGCTTCTCCTGTTAACTTGAAGGGTATATGTTCATCTTGTTTGAATTTGCATGCACTTGTGTTCCGTTTTACGAACTTTTTTAATCAATTATTCAGTATTTCTTCTTCTAAACTTATTTTTCTCTTTCACAAGTTTGTATCAAAACTTCCAGTTGTTGGCTTGTAGCTACTTCCATGTTTTCAATATTTTGTTGATTATGGTTGATGCAGGTGTTTCTAGCCAAGTGGATTGTGCGATAAAGATTCGTAATCTTGAAAGTAAACTAGATTCTGTAGTTTGTACAATAAAAGATCGTAAGGAGCTGGAAAAACATGTACCAATGCCATCGGAAGTAGTGGTGGAGTATGACAAAGCAGCCAACTTGTGGTCCCTTCATGAACAAATAAAACAAATGGAACTGGCAGTCGAAGAAGCTGCACAATCGAATTCCAGAAGAAGTAAATGGCAATTTATGGGAGCAAGAGATGCTGGGGCCAAGGAGGAGCTGCGCCAAGTTTATGGTGTTTCTGAAAGAACAGAAAGTGATGGTGCTATTAATTTAATTCAGAAACTGAGGGCCATTAACTATGCACTCGGTGAACTTGGACAGTGGTGTGCATATAAGGTGGCCTTTTAATAGTATTGTTGATTATTTTTTATGTCTTTGACAATTGTTTTTGGAAATTATTTGCTCAGGTCATTTCTTTTGCAGGTTGCAAAATCCTTTTTGACAGCTTTACAAAATGATGAGAGGGCAAACTACCAGCTTGATGTCAAGTTTCAAGAATCCTACTTGAATAAAGTTGTCTCTCTTTTGCAATGCCAGTTATCTGAGGGAGCTGTTTCAGAAAATAATTTAAAAATTGCTGACCTAGATGATGGGAGTGACCTTGATGAGATAGAGGAAGGAGAACTTCCTGATAGTCATGGTGGGTACTTGTTTATTCCTGCTAATTGAGTAGACTGCTGATTCTAGATGCTGACTATTTGATGATGCTAGATTAGTCTTGAGAGTTTATTCAAGGCTCGGTCAAACTGGATTCATCAAAGTTGAATTCTACTCTTTTTATTATGCAACTTCCTTTTCTAATCAAAACATATATTGAGAATGTGGTTTTGAGTCTTGGGTAACTTCATTGTGCAAATGATAGCAAAGTACCGTCTGCATCTAGTCCACCACAGGCCACACTTCATAATGACTTTTGTAAATATATGCTTGAGAAACATATAAGTGGTTTTATTAGGTATGGAAATTTGTTGTTGAGAATTTTGAGGATCGTTACTCAAGGCTCTAACAAAGTACATCCCAAACGAGAGAATGGGATTGGAAGCGGAGCCTTTAAATACTCCAATATAATACTCTAGTACATCCCAAACGAGAGAATTAGATTAGAAACGGAGCCTTTAAATACTCCAATAAAATACTCCAATATAGTACCGCAGTACACGGATCACTAACACAATCTCGATTGTAGGTAACCTTCGCTATTCTGGACCATTTTCTTTCTATTGGGCTTGGCCTGAGTAAGTTAAGCTCTTTCGCTCTATCTTGTGTGGAAGAGAGACGCTTAGCGATTCATGCTTTATAACGATAAGGTGATGCAGGATCACCTTTGTGTGGCAGAGATTATTGATGAGCAGGTATTGCGTACTTATTATGAGGCCATCATGGGTGAAGAACCAACACAGTGGTCTGTTGCCGTAAATGAGGAGATTGAGTCTCTTCATAAGAATCAGAATTGGGAGCTAGTTGTGAAACCTAAGGGCTAAAAGATTGGGAGCTATAAATGGGTCCTCAAGAAGAAGGAAGGAATCTAGAAGTGGAAGACGCAAGGTTCAGGCACGCTTAGTGGCGAAGGGCTATACAAAGAGGGAAGGGGTGGACTTCAATGAAGTTTTGTCTCTTGTGGTGAAACATAGATCAATCGGGCAATTATTTTCTATGGTTGCTAAGTATGGCTTGGAGCTTGAGAAGCTGGATGTGAAGACTACATTCTTGCATGGTGAGTTGGAAGAGAAAATTTATATGCAGCAGTCTAAGGGGTATGAGATTCTGGGAAAGGAAGTCCATGTTTGCCTACTGAAGAAGTCCTTGTATGGGTTAAAGCAGTCTCCTAGACAGTTGTACAAGCGATTTGATACCTTTATGGTAGGGAGTGGCTAATATAGGAGTGAGTTCGACATTTGTGTGTATAACATGAGGTTCTCATATGATTCATTTGTGTACTTACTGTTCAATGTTGATGACATGTTTATAGTTTGCAGGAACATGCTTGAAATTAACATGTTGAAGGTTGAGCTTACTGGCGAATTTGATATGAAGGATCTTAATGCCGCGAAGAGGATTTTGGGTATGAAAATTCACAGGGATTGAGGAGCGGGTAGATTGTATTGGTCACAGAGGAAATACAAGCATTAAAGCCCATGAGTACTCTACTGGCAGCCCACTTTAGACTTTTGGCAAGATTGTCACCACATATCGAGGAGGTGGTGGAGCACATTGTCTCGTGTTCCTTATGGTAGTGCAGTTCATAACATTATGAATGTCATGGTGTGCGTAAGGCCAGACATTTCACATGTGGTTAATGTAATGAGCAGATACATGGATAGACCCAGGTCCATTGGCATATTGTGAGATGGATATTGCGGTACTTGCGAGGCATTGCAGATGTTGGCTTAATCTATTATAAAGGCAACGACACGTGTGGGAGTGTTCCTGGGTATGTTGATTAGGATTATGCTGGAGATCTTGATAAGAGGAGGTCATAGACAGGGTATGTCGTCACTCTTTATGAGAGTGTAATCAGTTCGGAGGCGACTTTGTAGTCCACGTTGCATTGTCTACTTCCGAGGCTAAGTAAATTGCAGCCGCCGAGGCAATGAATGAAGCTATTGGCTGAGAAGCTTGGTTGGTGATTTGGGCATGCAACAAGATGATTTGACTGTGTTTTGCGACAACCCGAGTGCCATACATTTGACTAAAAATCAAATGTTCCATGAGAGGACCAATCACATTGATGTCATTATCAGGTCACACTTCATCAGAGATGTGATTGAATATGGTGCTATGGAGAATCTGGCGGATATAATGACTAAGGTCATTCCTACTATCAAGTTTAAATATTGTTTGGACTTGATTGGTGTTAGGCCCTTAGGGCCATGTGGAGGAGGCGAAGAGAGTAGCTGGTATTGTGGAGCTGGGCAGAATTCGAGCAAAGGTGGAAATTTGTGTTGTGGACCGGGTCACGTGTCCGACCCAGTTTTGACCCAAAAAATGGGCTCTGTGTGGGCCCAATCCCCTATTTTGACCCGATTTTAGCTTACGGATCGTGGATCATGTTTAGTACTCTCTTGTATCCCGGTATATAAAGGCGTTTTGGGTTTGGAGTGGGTAATGAGAGAATACTAAAAATCGTGGGAAAGATAGAGAGAGGGCTAGGGTTTTGGGGCTGAAACTTGTAATCTCTTGTTTTTCACATGGTGAAATCTTTCGTTGGTTCTTCACCCTAGATGTAAGCTTCACCAAACCACATAAGTCTTTGTGTTCTTTGTGTGTGGTGTGTTTACTTTTTTTGTCGCGATTCTTGGTTTGTTCTTGATTTGCCATGTTTATCATAACAATAACAAACGTTGAGCTTTAGCGGGGTCTAAACTGTTCGGGAATCCGTGAGATGAGATTTGCGAATAACATCTGCTACAAACTTGGACTATATAGTCTTTGGGAGAAGATGCTACTTCAATACCAAGAAAATAGAAGAGAAGACCAAGATCCTTCATATCAAATTATTGTTGAAACTCTGACTTCAAAAAAGTAATTCCGCTAGTGTCATCACCGTCAAGTCATCAACATATAAGAGGAGAATAATACTTCAAGCAGAAGTAAAACAAAGAAAAAGAGATAAATCATGGTTAGATAGACACGGAGGTTATCTAGGGTGAAACAACCTGCTTGGTGATAAGTGACATGCAGGTAGTAGTGACAAGTTGCTACATCAATGACAATGCCCAGTAGATAGTGGCTTACAAGTAGTCATCTCACTGTGGTAAGACAAGGCATATACATATATGGAACCCCAAAAATCTACTAACCAAAAACGGAAAACCGCAAAGATCTAGATCGTAGCTGTTATATGGAGTGAACAACCTACTAGGTGATATGCGTGTGACAAGCAAGGAGGTTACAAGTAGCGACCTCAATGACCAGTAGCTTACAAATAGACACCTCAATGACTAGTACCTTACAAGTAGGCCCCTCATATAGTAGTACAATAGGAGGAAAGAGAAGGGGGGGGGGGGGGGGGGGGGGGGTGCGGCGGCGGCGGCTGTTGAGAATGCTAAAGATCTTTACATCCTACATATTGGTTTCTTTCTTTCATATCATTAATACCAAGTTACGTAGATATCATGCATGATGCATGTTACTCCTTAAGGAGACATGGACAATCCTCATTATAGATTAAAAACACACTAAAATAGAATTATAAAGACAATTGAATAATGAATAGTAATGTCCAATAAAAAGAACGAATCCCAACAATACCCTAATCTACATCAATTTGCTACCTTTGCACTTAGTTTCTCAATATAGTTGATTTGATTATGATGGACTATACTTTGACATTCCTTTTATGCTGGTGTACTTATATGGTATAGTTGTCTCTGGTGGAGAGCACGTGGACGTAATTATAGGAGCTGCTGTAGCTGATGGAAAAGTGACCCCGAAAGTGCAGTCACTGATTAAAATCCTTCTCAAATATCAACACACAGAGGATTTTCGTGCAATTGTCTTTGTTGAGCGAGTTGTAGCTGCCTTAGTTCTTCCAAAGGTTTAATATGTTAAATGCATATCATTTTCTTGAAAGCTTTATTCCTTCTGTTCCACTCGATAGTTCTTCTCCATACTAGATTATCTTCTGTCGGACATGCAGGTTTTTGCAGAGCTTCCATCTCTAAGTTTTATCAAGTGTGCAAGCTTGATCGGGCAGAACAACAGTCAAGAAATGCGGACATGCCAGATGCAGGACACAATTGCCAAGTTCCGGGATGGTCGAGTATGTCTGGATACCTTGCGTGTTGATTAAATTTTATATGTTCTATAATTTCAATTTTTTTATGATTGATTTCATGAGTTGTAGGTGACGTTGTTAGTCGCCACTAGTGTTGCCGAGGAAGGACTTGATATCCGGCAATGTAATGTTGTCATTCGCTTTGACCTAGCAAAAACTGTTTTGGCATACATTCAGTCAAGGGGTCGTGCTAGAAAACCTGGGTCAGATTATATCTTGATGGTTGAGAGGTACTTATGTTGGGTCTGGCAGTGTGAGCATTAACTCGTACCTTGGCAATCTATCTATGATATTTCTGCTAATTTTTGATTGAAAATTCTCTCTAGGGGAAATTTGTCGCATGGAGCATTTTTAAGGAATGCTAGGAATAGTGAAGAGACCTTGCGGAAAGAAGCAATTGAGCGAACCGACCTTAGTCATCTTAAGGGTACTTCAAGGCTAATTTCGGTGGATCCAACACCAGGCACGGTGTATCAAGTGGAATCAACTGGTGCTATTGTGAGCTTAAATTCTGCTGTTGGACTCATTCATTTCTATTGCTCTCAACTTCCCAGTGACAGGTGCAGTTTCTGTTTCTCTATGATAGATTATACTCCTATTTGTTACCCTTGTATTCGTTTTTGTTATTACTATTAGACTTCTTAGTGGTTTTTAGCTTCTTAGTCAGTTGTCTTGCAACTATTATCAGGTATTCAATACTTCGTCCCGAGTTTATCATGGAGCGTCATGAGAAGCCAGGAGGGCCTACTGAATATTCTTGCAGGCTTCAACTCCCCTGTAATGCACCGTTTGAAGAACTGGAGGGACCAGTATGTAGTTCAATGCGTCTTGCACAACAGGCATGCCAGCTTTTTGTTGTCGGTGATACGACCTTCATCAAACATTCAAACAAGAAAATTCATTAACATCTTTCATGTGCAGGCTGTTTGTTTGGCTGCTTGCAAGAAGCTTCATGAGATGGGAGCATTTACTGACATGCTCTTGCCAGACAAGGGAAGTGGGAGTGAAGAAGAAAAACTTGACCAGAATGATGAAGGAGATCCACTCCCTGGAACTTCTAGGCATAGGGAATTCTATCCTGAGGGTGTAGCTAATGTTCTCCAGGTTAGTTCAACCCTTTTGACCCATGGATTATACTATCTGCTTGCAGTATTTGAGAATATTGTGAACCAGCATAAGATAAACAAATTTTAAAAAAAAAAGAAAGAAAAAGGAAAAGAAAACAACACCCACCCATTCACCAACAAGTTCCCCCCAATCTCGGCTGCTACCTTCCTATTTATGACAATATGAATTTCAGTGCTCTATACCTTCCATTTGCCAATGTGAATACTGCCTTTTCCTTTTCATTTGTTTTCCCCTTTTGATGAATAAAAGATTCATCAAACAAGCGAACTAGGGCTCCATTGCACACTAGGTGTACTGATTAGCTAATAAGACTAAGAACATTTTATAAATGGAAGTGAAACCATGAGCCCTTGTAATATACAAATACTTGGATATAAACTCCTTTGACTTGAAAATCAAAATTTCCCCAACTTTAAAGATCCTTCTATTCTTCATCTTCCAGATATATAACAAAATGCAATTGGACACCAACCTTAATAATGGCCTGTTTGATATGTATAAAAAAAATAATAATAATAATAGTAATGGCCTGTTTGATTAGGTGCAATGCACTGTCTTTTTCTTCATTACCAGATTGCTAGAGATCTGGAGGCTTTCTTTTCGCCACTTGAACCTTAAAAGGTGTAAAAGTAAGCATTATTTGCTTCATCTTCTTTATCCTTTTGTTAGAAAGGAAGACGAGAGAATATAAATTGAGGAGTTTATTTGGATATCAAAAAAATGTTAAAAAATTCTGCATAAAAAACAGAAGCAGAAAATTATGGATACAAAATGGTTGCATAAAAATTATAAAATACATTTATTAGTTAAACTTTTGGTTGTATATATATTCTTTTTGTTTTCATATATCATAATATCATACTGGTAATAAAAAAATATTAACAAAATGACAAAATATAGTTATTAATTATGCTGTTATATTTGCTTACACATTTATTTTGTTTCATTGAAAAATGAAAGATCTATTCTTTAGTGTATGGTAGCATGGTATAGTTGTAGTAATAAATAGGAGTAGCATGCATTCAGTCTATTACTTTTCTGTTTTTAGTTTTTATTTCCAAGAGAAATAAATAGGAAGGGTTGTTTGGAAAAGATACTTTGGGGGCTGTGGCTTTTGAAGGCAACAAAAGGTGAGGCTTGGAACTTTTTGTTCAAGACACAATAGATATAGGTAGTAGGGTTAGGGATGTAATCAGCTAGGGTTACAGTTCTTTGACTTTTGTCTCAAATTTCTAATTTAGCCATTGTTCCGTTCTTGTATAAAATGGTAGTCAAATACAATGTGCCATACGGATAAAAGCGAAAAGACGGGTTTAATAGCGCATTATTCACAATTACACGGAAAACGGAAGCATTTTTAAAAGTATATACACGTATAATATGCATATTGTACGATAACTTTTCCCTAGTTGATACTCAACCCCACCCACCGACCCCCCTCTCCTTCACTCTCTCTCTAAAGGAATTGTTTGCAACCAAGAGAAGTCGAACCTTTAAAACTAATTACAATTGCTATTTGTGTATTTGAGATTCTCTTCCCTTTTGTTATTATTATTATTATTTTTTTCCATCTAGTTGGTTGAAATCACTATGAACATTTAATGTTCATTAGTGTTACATTGGATACAATCTGCATCTTGCTTGAACTCCCCTTGGCCCTGCAGGGAGATTGGATTTTATCTGGGAGAGACGGTGGCAACAAGTTCAAATTCTTTCATCTTTACATGTATGCTGTTAAATGCATAAATGTAGGCTCTTCAAAAGATCCATTTTTAACCCAAGTTTCAGATTTTGCAGTACTTTTCGGCACTGAGCTGGATGCAGAGGTATATTTTTTTCCCCTGTTCAGTGGTATAGTAAACATAATTGTTCATCTCTAATTTTGTTTAACATTGTTACTAGGTGTTATCGATGTCGATGGATCTCTTTATCGCTAGGACCATGATAACAAAGGCATCTCTTGTCTTCCGGGGTCCAATAGATGTAACAGAATGTCAGGTATATTTATACTCTTTTAGTTAAAAGCTAGTAGTTGTTTACTTTAATAAATAAAATCATAATGAATTTCTTTTTAGATTTTGAATTTAAACTTCTATTGGAAGACAAAACCTGATTTCTGCTTTCTTGCAGTTGGCATCCCTTAAAAGCTTTCATGTAAGACTAATGAGCATTGTACTGGATGTGGATGTTGAACCATCCACCACTCCTTGGGATCCTGCAAAGGCATATTTGTTTGTTCCTGTGGTTGGCGATAAGTGTGTAGATCCTATAGAAGAAATTGACTGGGATCTAGTTGAAAAAATAATTGAGACAAGTGCATGGAGCAATCCCCTTCAGAGAGCTCGTCCTGATGTTTACCTCGGTACAAATGAGCGGACACTAGGCGGAGACCGAAGGGAGTATGGATTTGGGAAATTGCGTCATGGCATGGCTTTTGTACAAAAATTCCATCCTACCTATGGCATTAGAGGAGCTGTAGCACAGTTTGACATTGTGAAAGCATCTGGATTGGTTCCTAGTCGGGATGCTATTAAGATGCCGAATTATGTGGGCTTGACCGAAGGCAAATTGATGATGGCTGATTGTTGCACCAGTGCAGAAGATCTGGTAGGAAAAATTGTGACAGCTGCTCACTCTGGGAAGAGGTTCTATGTTCATTCTGTATGCTATGATATGACTGCAGAGAACTCGTTCCCTAGGAAAGAAGGCTACCTTGGTTCTCTTGAGTACAGCTCATATGCCGATTACTACAAGCAAAAGTACGTGTCTCATTACCATCTCGAATTGTTTGGTCCTCTTCATTTCACTAAATTTTGCTTATTATTGCCAGAAAAAATAAAAGCTCAAATAAAGTCTATACTATTTCAGCTGCTAACAATTACTTGGTTATAATGCAAGTAATGGTTAGCCCTAATGCATCTTACTTGTGACTGAAAGAAAAGAAAAAATGGGAAAAAAAAAAAAAAAAAAAAAAATCTGATCTCAATTGGTGCAAGGAGCTTTTAATTACTTTCAAGTGTGAAAGAAGGGGGATTCACTGGACCATGATGCATAGATTTCCACTATCTGTAGTTTATGAATCCTTCTAGAATGAGGAAATCTTTATTTATATTTTCTTTCTTTCTTTTTTCTCTTCTTATTCTTCTTGATCAACAAAGGTGCACTGGCTATTCAGTTTGAAAGGTAATGAACTGGCACTGCTAGGCTCTGATATGTCAAAAAAACGAAAGGTTCAAATTAGACCTAGAAGGGAAGGTTTGAATAGGCCTTATAGTTACTTTTGGTGAATAACTAATTTATCAAATTTTGGTTAATCCTTGTCCAAATTTCTGTTTGTTTTGTTGTCTATGTCTCTCAATCACAAGCAAAAGCACATAAAGCAATAAAAATAATGTAAAGCATGGACACAATTTTCACTTGGAAAACCTTAGAAAGGAAACATACAGGACCCTCAATCAACTATAGAGAAAGGTGTACAACACTAGGTTACTAGACACTAAATCCAAGAATCTCTCAGGCGCTTTTCACTGAGAATCACTTCAGACAATCCTCCCCAGACTCTGCTACTGCTAGTCAAGAACTGGATCGCCACAAGCTTGCTCTCCATGGTTGTTTAAATCCTCGTTCTTCACTAAATCACCCAATTGATTGGTTTTATGGTAGTTTCTGATAAGCTCCTTGCTTTGAATCACATAATCACATGAAGTATGGTGTTATCTAAAAACCCTAGATTGATTCTCAAAGTTCTCTCTTTCTAAAATATATAAACTTTCAATAATATGTGAAAAGGTACCGTAGACTCTGTAATTCCATAAGTATAGCTAATATAGTACTGAAATAAGATCAGTTAAAAGACATTTTTGAGAGTTTCCATAACAATTCTGTCCCGATCGATCGAGAGTAAGCTAGAGCGACCGAACTTGTTCCAGTAGCCATTGAGCAATGTGCTCGATAGGTTCAGTCAATCAATCTATCAATTGAAACTCATTGGAGTTGTTTCGAGTTCTATTTCAAGCAATTGAAGCTTCACTCCGAGCTCATTATTTTCCAACAAATTTTCTTATTCAATAATTCAATTGATGTATCAATATTCTTATAAATTTGAAAAACATGTTTAAACATGATTTTGAACCTTTTAAAGGTCAAACCTAGGTCATGGGAGGCCAATCCATCCAAAGAATCTTTCCAAACTAGATTAAGTCCACTAAGGTCTCACCTTACCTAACCTAGACATGTGATTGAGTTTGATATATTTTTGGCGTGTTCTTCATTGTTCTTCATCTTCAATCATCTTCTGTGGTTTTAGACTTGGTACATTTTGTTCAATCTTGCATTCCTTTTTTTGAATGGGAAATTGCTATCACATGACTATGTCCTAACGATCTGTATTACCAACAGGTATGGCGTTGAGTTGATCAATAAGCAGCAGCCTCTAATAAGGGGGCGTGGTGTTTCTTATTGCAAGAATCTTCTGTCCCCTCGATTTGAACATTCAGAACGTATGCAATTTTATCTTTCTTTGTGGATTTTTTTCCTTTCCTTCGTTAATTTCACATATTTGTAGCTTTTGGAACTAATGTGGGGTATTTGTTTAGCACATGAAGGTGATTCTGAAGAGACACTTGACAAAACATACTATGTTTTTCTCCCTCCTGAGTTGTGTTTTGTACATCCACTTCCTGGATCATTAGTTCGAGGTGCACAGAGATTGCCCTCAATAATGAGGAGGGTTGAAAGTATGTTGCTTGCAGTTCAGCTCAAGGATACTATTAATTATCCCGTCCCTGCTTCAAAGGTATTTTATTTTTCCACAGTGGTGGTAGTTGGTGGTTATTATCTATTTATTGATTGACTGTGAGCTGTATCTCTTTACAGATCTTGGAAGCGTTGACAGCTGCTTCATGCCAGGAGACATTTTGCTATGAAAGAGCAGAGCTTCTGGGAGATGCATATCTGAAATGGGTTGTTAGTCGATTTCTTTTTCTTAAATATCCCCAGAAACATGAAGGCCAGCTCACTCGGATGAGACAACAGATGGTGAGTAACATGGTACTATATCAGTATGCATTGAACAAAGGACTTCAGTCATATATCCAAGCAGATCGATTTGCTCCATCTAGATGGGCTGCTCCTGGGGTGCTGCCTGTCTTTGATGAGGACACCAAGGAAGCAGAATCGTCCTTATTTGATCAGGGAAAATCACTTACTGAGACTGTATCTGGAAAGGATCACCACTGTGACTGGAATGAAGATGATGAAATTGAAGATGGTGAGCTTGAGAGTGATTCAAGTTCATACCGTGTCCTCTCTAGCAAGACGTTGGCAGATGTTGTTGAAGCACTGATTGGAGTTTATTATGTTGAAGGGGGGAAGAATGCTTCAAACCACCTCATGAAATGGATCGGCATTCAGGTAGATTTTGATTCCAAAGAGATAGAATCCACAACCAGGCCTAGCAATGTTCCTGAGAGCATACTTCGGAGTGTCAACTTTGATAATTTAGAAGGTTCCTTGAACATTAAATTCAAGGACAGGGGCCTATTGGTAGAAGCTATTACTCATGCTTCACGGCCATCTTCTGGAGTGTCCTGTTATCAGCGCTTAGAGTTTGTTGGTGATGCAGTCTTGGATCATCTCATCACAAGGCATTTGTTCTTTACGTACACGGACCTGCCCCCAGGCCGCTTGACTGATTTGCGCGCTGCTGCTGTAAATAATGAAAACTTTGCACGGGTTGCAGTTAATCATAAGCTCCATGTGCACCTACGGCATGGATCGAGTGCCCTCGAAAAGCAGGTTGGCAATTCTGCACTTGTTAACTTTATATCTAGCTCGTTATGCAGTCCTGTATTGTCTCATTACAGATCATTTGTTCTCTGCTTGACCTTAATTTGTCATTATCCTTGACAAATTACCTCCCTCATAAGCAGTCCTTATTTTTATTTATTTATTTATTTTTTAAAAAAATTGCTTCATTTTCAGATTCGGGACTTTGTTAAGGAAGTTCAAGATGAATTATCAAAACCCGGGTTCAATTCCTTTGGTTTGGGGGATTGCAAAGCTCCAAAGGTTCTTGGAGACATTGTTGAATCTATTGCTGGGTCTATCTTTCTAGACAGCGGACTTGATACTGCAGTTGTTTGGAAGGTTAGTTTCAGCCAAGGGACATTCTATTATTATTGTTGTTGTTGTTGTTTCTGATGCTGCTGCTGTTATATTCTTCTTGTTGAAAAAAAAATAAAAAATAAAACCTTTTGGAGATGAATTGGAATCTTTAAGATTTAAATTCTTGGAATTTTGATATGATCCAGGTCTTTCAACCTTTGTTGCATCCAATGGTCACTCCAGAGACGCTCCCAATGCATCCAGTGCGAGAACTGCAAGAACGATGCCAGCAGCAGGCCGAAGGCTTGGAGTACAAAGCAACTCGAAGTGGCAATTTGGCTACTGTTGAAGTATTTATTGATGGGGTCCAGATTGGGGTTGCTCAGAATCCACAAAAGAAGATGGCACAGAAATTAGCTGCCAGGAATGCCCTTGTTGCTATGAAAGAGAAGGAAACAGCCAAAGCCAAGGAGAAGGGTGATGAGGATGCAAAGAAGAAGAAAAGTGGCAGCCAAACATTTACCAGACAGACTCTGAATGATATCTGCTTGCGTAGAAATTGGCCAATGCCATTGTATCGGTAAGATAAATATTGAATGAACTTTTTTTTTTGGCAATTAAGATTAAGAATATAGTAACTCAAAAAGCCTATGTACATTTGTGTGAGAAGGGCATAGCCCCCCTGTACACACAACATTTCAAGGAGTAAAACCGCAACAAAAAAATGGCCTGATAACCAGAAATAAGCTGTCAGTTTTCATCTTTACATTACACCATCCCCCACCCTATAATCACCATATAGCCCATTGTAGCCGAAGAGAAGCAGAGGCCACAGCATGAGAAGGACCATCTCTGCCCTATTGTCAAAACAGAACCTACTGATGTAGAGACCACAGGAATGGTAACCTTTGGTATGGCTTCCAAATATTTTGAAAACAGCCGTGGCAATACCCCAGCAGTTTGAAACAATCAAACCCCAACCAAAAACACTGCATTCCCCACATAATAGATTTTACAAGCTCCATTATAACAACACAGCTACTTGAAAATGGAATCAGTTAATTCCCATTCGCTCTGCAGCTTGTGTCTTTCTTGTGACTGTTTGAAGCCTCTCAAGGACCACATCCTGTATTTAACAATATCTACAACGCTTTTCTGCATGGAGAGGACATCATTGTAAGAATTTGAAAAAAGCCTCTGATTCCTCTCTCCACATGACCGATGGACGCTGCAAGGGCTAGTTTTATAATTGTAGCTTTGAGGCTCCTCCTTCTGGAATTGGCTTGAAAGTTGTTTGAGGACCACTGCAGGCAGCACTAGGCACCGATAAAGCTCTAAATTTTGCTAGCAACTGGACATTCAAAAAATAGATAATTGTGATCTTCAACTTTAAATCTACAGAACACAGCTTATATTATGAATACTGTTATTTGGCTTATAGTTAAATATAAGAACAAAGCTTATATTCTGAATATTGTTATTTTGCTTATGGTTAAATATAAGTGTTGGGTATTTATTCTGGTTCCTGTCTGGCTTTGATTCTTTGCCATCTCTAGGTGCGTGAATGAGGGAGGTCCTGCACATGCAAAAAGGTTTACATTTGCAGTTCGGGTGAACACTACTGATAAAGGATGGACGGATGAATGTGTGGGAGAGCCAATGCCAAGTGTCAAGAAAGCCAAGGACTCTGCGGCAGTTCTCCTCTTGGAACTTCTAAATAAGTGGTACACGTGATATCATCTCAAAAGGTTTGGTGGTAGCAATCTTATTCTTTACAGTTGTAATATCATGCCTGGTGCAACCTATTCATGGCTACTATATCCCGGATGTGCTGTTCGTATAACTTAATTTTGCATCCACCGGAGAGCCCATTCTGATTATTAGGAAAGGACTGCTGCAGTTTTAGTAAATGCTATACATGATAACAGTGGAAAGGATTGGTGGCAGCCCTAGTTTCTGCATTGCAATATAGCACCTCATGATGGGTTATAATACACCTGGGCAAGCTGTTCTTTTAATTTTTTGTCTCCTGTATATTTAAGCAGCTGAAGTATAATTGCAAGCTTTGCTCCAGATGCCCACAATTCTCGTATTGGTAAGATTTAATTATTCAAGCACTTTCATAGTCAATCGGAAGTCTTCTATGTTGCCAATTGCTCAAGCAAGCAACCCTAAAACCTTATGTGATGGACAATCTCTTAATTTTGTCGACTATGTGCCATTTTGACCAAAGTTGAACCAAATTACATACACAATAGTTTCGAGGTAGCTTTGCCCAGATAAACTGGATCATTGTTATTGATCAACCATAATACTCTAAATTTATAGTGTTAATTGCAATTTTTTTAGAAGTTTGGCAAGTCGTCACCACCTTCCATTATCGATCAGTATATTCCTTTTTTGATTGGAGATGGGGATTTATAGAGGTCGGAAGTGACATTTATAGAGAACCAGAGTTACCTTCAATGCACATGGAAAAAGAGAACTCAGCAAAAAAATCTGATAATATATTGATAAATGAATGGATGATCTACTTTGCAGTATACTAGTAATGATGTCGTAAGTCGGTGGGTGTGCAGGACTTCTTCTCTCTTGGAGAGAATCCTTGTCCAAATACGAAACCCCTAACAGCATAAAAAAAATAAATAAAATAAATAAAAAAAAACCTTAAAAATGTTAGAAAACTTGAAACTAAAAAACAAACTTGGCTTTGAAAATTTTGTAAAAGTAAGGAAATAAGTCTAATTACTAAAAATGAGTAAATACCAAAAAGGAAAGAAATTCGATTCCATTCAATCTTTTAATGAACATGATGTAGAGGAAGTGATCAAACTGCTTTATTATTAATCAAAAGTTAAACTAAAACATAAAATTAAAAAAAAAACTCGAATTTCAATACGGCTCACAGGGCCATCCAAAATTCTTCCCAATGCATTTCCACGTACATTGCATGTGCTTGCTTTATTGGAGGACCCGTAACCTCTCATTGTAGAGTATTTGCTACCTGGGGATAGAAAAGCTCGAGCACAAGATTCTCTGCTCGAGCATTTTCTCTTCAGGTAGACTTCTTAAGTGCGAGATTAATTTTAATTAAATCCCATTAAGTCCCAGACGGGTCCAGATAACCCAGAAGACCTAAAGCCCCTCCACCAATGGATGGAAGTCAGTTGCTTCTATAAAAAGACAGAGAAAAGAAGTTATTCTCTCTTGCAAATAATTCTAGATCTAGTGGCGGCATTTAGGGTTTTTAGGAGTTTCTCTGAAGACCTAAAGAAGAAGATCCACGGAAGAGAAGTGCAGTTCATGATGATAAGTTCTACACCAACAAAGATGATATCCTTCATCGTCATGAGTAACTAAATCCCCTCTTAGGGCATTGATATAACCCGAATCCGATTACTATGGTTTAATTGTTCTATACTTTGGGATTTTCATTATTAATGTATAATTGATTGTATGATTTTGAGCAATTGACTTAGATCTTCTAAGCAATTGGGATTTTAATTAAAGAAATTAGTTTTTGATAAATTAATACCTTGTCTTAGATTTAATTCTTCTAAAATCAAAATCAACCTATTCTTATTGTTTGAGATTGGCGGCTAAGGGCTTCTCATGACAATAAGAATAGAGATCATGCAATGGTGCGTAAACTGTTTTTGTAAATGAATGTTTTCATAATCTATGCTTAGGGAAGATAGATTATATTACAAAATTAGCTAGAAGTAGGTAGATAGATGTAATACCCCGGGGTATCACAATAGATAATCTGTGCCAACCGAAGATAGGTTATTATTAACAGAAATTCATGATTTATCTTTTTTTAAATTGAATTAAATGAATGTTATTGAGTTTAATTCCGAGTTACACATAAACATTGAAATCCCAAGGTTGAGACAATTGATCATAATATGAGGTTCGTGGTGAAGTCAAACCCTAAGATCTTCTCTCTCTGATCTTAATCATTTTACTTAGTTTAATTTTTGTTCATGCTATTGAATTACAACACAACAAACAAAACTTCCTTGTAAATTAAAATAACTATTAATTGAAAACTCAATAAACCACCATAGTCCCTGAGGTTCGACAACCTCTAAGTAGCCTTATCCTACAAAGGATTCGTACTATTACGGGTGGTAAAATAAACTACACATTATTGGCTACATAGTGACCAAACTTACCACAACTATAACAGGTTAGGTTTGTGTCCTCTTCTTGAACCTGAATTTTTTACATAGTGTTTGTGTCATCTTCTTAAACTTGAATTTTCTGAACTTCTTAGCCAAGTAAGCCATTTCATTTTCCTCAAGATCATCATCTTCAAACTTTGGTTCAACTTCTTCAACTACTTCTTTGGCCTTAAGAATAGATTCTCTTCTATGTTGAGTAGGGGCATCAATTCTCATCTCATAGTCTGTGAGTGAGGCTTGAAGATCATCAATCTTCATTAGTGACAGATCCTTGTCTTCAAGAATGGTGACTTTGGCATTGAAACTTGAGTTTAGAGACCTCGGAATCTTCCTATGAACTTCAGAATCTTTGATATCTTCACCAAGAGCCTTCATGTTGTTAACTATCTCATTGATCCAAAATAAGTGATCTGCTATAACTTCCCTATCCTCCATCTTGTAGCTTTCATATTGAACTTTTAGAAGTTGTATTGTGTTCTCTATAATTACATTATTCCCTTCATAAGCAGCCTTAAGAGTATCCTATGTTTCTTTAGCTGTCTTACAAATTTTAATCCTTGTGAACTCCTGCTGTTTAAGAGAACGGAAGAGGGCATGTTTTGCCCTTCCATCATTAGCCAAAACATCCCTGTCATCTGCAGAGGGCTTAATTGGATTGAGAACAACAATGTTAAACATAGTGGCATGGAAAACATCATAGGATTAAGACATTAGAAAGGCTTCCATCCTAGTCTTCCAAGAATCATAATTGGAACCATCAAACCCTGGTGCTTTGTTCGTAACTTAACCTTTTTCCATTGCGAGGATCAACTGTAGGCCTGTTAAAACTTTAATATGCAGACCAAAGCTCTGATACCAATTATTGGCCTCAACCAATATAAGCTTTACTAGTTATATACAAGTAGTTACACACTCAGCTATCTCACACTCTGCATACACCCTTATACAAGTTGAAACACTAGTTTTCACAGCATATACACACACACTAGCTCAACACAATGCTCACAAGCACCCCTCATGTCCGAAACACCCTTGCTTGGACCTTGTAAGCTTTCATAGCTCACCAAATACAATAAGAAGTATGAATATCAATAATATTCAAGCATACACAAAAGATAAGAGTGATTGTGTAGCTCAAAACAACAATATGCAACCTCTAGAACACCTTTTGCTGAAGTTAGGGTTTGAGGGGTAAAATTAAAAATTCGTGTCTGTAATGACCCGGTCATTTTCCTTCTTTTCCATTCTCTAAAATTTTACGGATAAATTTTTTCCGTTGATTTCTTTTTCCGAGTTTTCTTTTTCCGTCATTTTTTCACTATCTTTTCATTTTGCGTAACCTATCGGGTCGTGCTCAGATTTGATTCTGACCTTGCATGCATTCATTTTACTTAATTTTTATGTGATCCACATTTTTATTTTTGTAGAAAAGCATGCTAGATGTTTACTTTTGCCCGTAGGGGTATAAATGTAAAGATTCTTGAAAATTATTTTCTTTACTTGGGGTGTTTTCATAATTATCTTTTGATAAAATTTTGTATTTAAGGTTCTTTTAAATATATCTTTTGAATGGCACCTCATTTTTGGGTTTATGAGAAATTCACTTTTTGAGTTATCCAGTGGAGGGGCATTTGGGTAATTATGAAAAATTTTCACAAAAATTTCTCGTTTTGGGTTCAAACTTTCATGAGGGATTTATTTTCACTTTTAATGGATTCTAGAACTTCTGGAATATTTTTTGGATTTTTATATCATTTATTTTGAATTTTCGAACACCGTCAGTCGTCAATCTTGTTCGGGGCGTATCTCCTCGCTCGGGACTCAATTTTTGACCCCGTTTCTTCCGTTGACCTTAGAATTCCATTTTAAAACTTTTTTATTCATAGACCGTTGGCATTTGAGCACGTCTTCACTAATTTCACTTTTTTGACCCAGATGGGGCCCGTTCGGACTGTTCGGGACACCTTTTTGACCTATTTAGGGTTAGTGGACAAGAGAGAAAGTATCCAACTTTTTATTTCCTAAAGTAGCAGCAGCAGCCACCATTTCTAGAGCTTAGAGGTTGCACTCTTCTCTATCCTCTCTTCATCTATTTTCTCTTTGATTTTCATCTTCGCGGTTTATACTTTTTTGATCGCCTCAACGACGCGGTCATTTCTATCCGACCAGTTTCCGATTTGCAGCACTTTGACTTTTGGGCTGAGAGTTCAAGCTTGAATTTAGGTCTTCTCACTTAAGGATTTTTGCTCTCCTTGTTGTCCCCATCAAAACCCTGAAGTTTCGTCGCATTTTGTGGGGTTTGATTTTGGTGGGATTTGAGATTTTCATCTCAAGTGAGGTAGGGGGTGTTTCGTGTTTATAATCTTAGTGTTTTACATGTTTTTGAGGTTTATATAACTTATATGCATGTTTAAAGTTTAGATCTAGAAATAATTTTTCTTTTAATTAAATGATGATTTAATTTCATAGTTAAAACATGCTTAGATTTAATTAAGATTATGATTTTTGAAGAGCCCATGACTTGTAGTTTATCATATATTATTTTTGGAATTTTTGGATGACTTTTGAAATATAGAGATTTTTAATTAATTAAGTTAATTAAAAATTAATTAAGTGTTTTAGTGGCTTAATTAGACTTTTGATTTGATATTTGAGTTCTTCATGATATGTTATTTATTATATGTTAAATTCATGTCATTTGGTGATGTTTTGCAATCTAGAGGAATTTATTAATATTTATTTTATTAGCTTCCATTTAATGAAATTATGATTTATTTGCATCTTTGATGTTTTCAAGGCCTAATATGTTACATGCCATGGTAGTTGAGGACCTAGGGCATGTCTTGTGTGTTTTCACAATTTGATTGTTTATGATATTTGATTTTGTGCATTTAGTATGTGTATATGTTTATTGTGCACAATTTGTTGATTTTGGAAGCTTGG